CTATATTCTCCCTCTCTCCCCTATCATTGGTATCTAGAGCCTGTCGACCTCGGCCACATCATTCATGGCAGAAGCGACGCGAATGCAGAACGTCATTCGTGAGGCAGAGGAACGCATAATGACGGCGGTGGAGCCATGTATCACGAGGCAAATTCGTGAATTGGAGAACCGTTTCGAAACTCAATTCACCAATGTGCAAGAAGCCATGCGCGGAATTGGATTGCAATTGGCGGAATTAACGGCGGCGCGTCGCCATGGTGGCAACGGCGACGGAGCAACTCGACCAGCAACGCGATTAACGCGTCTGGATTTCCCAAAATTCACTCGCGACGATGTCGAATCTTGGATTGCAAAATGTGAACGTTTTTTTTTGTTGGATAGAACGCAAGAAGGGGACAAGGTCTCGGTTGCGAGTATCGCTCTTGATGATAACTCTTTTCGTTGGTTCCAAAGTCTAGAACAGGGATCGAATGGCCGATTGACATGGCAGAATTTCACCGAGGCATTGAAGATGCGATTTAGCCTCGAGTTCGATTCTCCTATGGAAGAACTCAAGAAATTGGTACAGACTGGTTCGCTGGAGGCGTATCAGGAATCGTTTGACAATCTTGTGGGTAGAACAGCGTTGACGGAATCTCAAAAGCTCCAATGCTATTTGGGAGGCCTTCAACAGGAATTGTGTAATGGTGTGAAGATGTTCGCTCCGCGAACGGTGTTGGAAGCTACTCGTATGGCAAAGTTGCAAGAACGAAGTTTGGAATTGTTACAGAAACGATTGGGGCCTGCAAATCGAACACAAGGTTCTTGGAGTGAGAAGAAGAATACAGTTTCTCACACCTTTGACAAGAAAGTGATGCCTCAGGAGAAGAAAGGAAATATCGAAGGTTCTCAAAAGAGCGTTTTGGGAAAGCCGGCATATACGTTTCAGAAGAAACTTTCTCCGAAAGAAATGGAGGAACACAGGGCTCAAAACTTGTGTTTTTTCTGTCATGACAAATTCTTTCCTGGACATGATTGTCCTCAGAGGAAGAAAATGCAAGTTTTCCTTATGGAGGTTGGGGAGGAAAACCAACTGGACACAATGGGAGCTGATTCTGTTCCTGAGGAAATTTCTAATGATCCTACTCAAGGTGTTGACCCTACTGTTTCACTTAATGCCATTCAGGGAGACTCTTCTCATCCTATGATGAGATTGATAGGATGGATGGGCAAAAAGAGAGTTCATGTACTCATAGACACAGGCAGCACGCATAATTTCATCAACCAGAAATTATGTAAAGAGGGGCTCAATACTCTACAACCTATGCATCCCTTGCGGATAACTGTAGCTGATGGCGGTCTTATACAAGGTACAGGACGGTGTGAAGGCATCCGGTTAAAGCTTCAAGGGTATGATTTTCTTACTAATGCTATTGCAATACCATTGTCCAGTTGTGATATTATATTGGGCATGCAATGGTTAAGGCAATGGGGAGTCATCCACTGGGATTTTACCAATATGGCTATGGAATTTTCTATGAATGGTATGCCGGTGAAGTTGCAGGCTGTTAAAGAAATTAAAAGTAGCATAGTTTCAGCTTCTAAATTGCATCAGTTAATGGTTGAAGACAATTTCTGTTATATGCTACAATTTCTACCTTGTTCCACAGAGGCAATGTGTTGTTCAGTGACCACTGAGGAGCTACAGGATCAGGTGATGATGGCTCATAGAGAATATGTTTTACATGAGTTCCAAGAGGTCTTTGAAACACCTACTCAGCTGCCACCCTTTAGGGGTATTCATGATCATCAAATTATGCTAAAGGAGGGTTCTAATCCGGTTAGTTTAAGACCTTATAGACACTCCCCAGCTCAAAAGGATGTCATTGATGGCATGGTTAGAGAGCTCTTGGATTCGGGAGTAATTCAACCAAGCTCTTCCCCTTTTGCTTCTCCAGTTGTGTTGGTCAAAAAGAAAGATGGGAGTTGGCGAATGTGTGTAGATTATAGGCGGTTGAACGAAATGACGGTGAAGGCTAAATTCCCAATTCCTTTGGTGGAGGACTTATTGGATGAATTAGGTGGGGCAATGGTGTTTTCTAAACTGGATCTTAGGGCGGGATATCATCAAATAAGGATGAAAACGGAGGACGTACCAAAGACAGCGTTTCAAACTCATGGGGGGCAGTATGAATATGTGGTGATGCCTTTCGGCTTGTCCAATGCACCAGCTACTTTTCAAGGAACAATGAACACTATTTTTTCTGGTTTATTGAGAAAATGTGTTCTTATTTTCTTTGATGACATACTAGTGTATAGCCCATCTCTGGAGGCACACGTGGATCATCTGCGACAAGTGTTTCAAATCCTCAAAGCTCACACCTTCTATGTTAAGAGAAGTAAATGTGCATTTTTCACAACACGGATCGAATACTTGGGTCATTTCATTACACCTACGGGAGTTACTACTGACCCAATTAAAGTTCAAGTTGTGACAGATTGGCCGGTGCCTCAAACTGTTAAGCAATTGAGGGGATTTTTAGGATTGACGGGTTACTACAGGCGGTTCATTAAAGGTTACAGCATCATTGCTTCTCCTCTTACTGATTTACTCAAGCGAGATTCTTTCCATTGGACACAAGAGACGCACGCTGCCTTCACTGCATTGAAAGATGCTTTGAGTAATTCTCCGGTGTTGGCCATCCCTAATATGCAAAAGCCATTTGTCGTTGAAACAGATGCTTCGGGCACGGGAATTGGGGCTGTGCTAATGCAGGACAGGCACCCTGTGGCTTTTATTAGCAAGGTTTTGTCTCCTAAAAACAGGTTGCTGTCAGTTTATGACAGAGAATTATTAGCATTGGTTCATGCAGTCTCTAAATGGCACCAATATCTTTCTTTGAACACATTTACAATTCTTACTGACCAACATAGTTTGAAGTACCTATTGGAGCAACGCCTATCGACTCCAGCCCAATATAGATGGGTCACTAAGCTCATGGGCCTTTCTTATGAAATTTTGTATAAGAAGGGTAAGGATAATGTGGTTGCAGATGCCTTGTCGAGAGCCTCGCACGGTGAAGTTTTACAATTGACCGTCTCTTCTATTTCTTCTGAGTTATGGGACTCTCTCCTTAAAAGCTATGAACAAGATTCAGCTTTGCATGACCTCAAGCTGCAGGTTCTCGCTAACCCAACCTTGCATCCCCATTTCTCTGTTTTGGACAATTTACTGTATAGGAAACAGAAGCTGGTCATTCCTAATGACGGGCAAGTGCGATTGGTGATTCTACAATGGCTTCATTCTTCACATCAAGGAGGCCATTCAGGCATCAGGGCTTCTATAGCAAGGATCAAGAGCATATTTTATTGGAAGGGCCTTGCCAAAGATGTCACAAAGTTCATTCAACAATGTGAGACTTGCCTTAGATGCAAGTATGAACCTAGAGCTGTTGCTGGTTTACTTCAGCCCCTGCCAGTTCCAGAAGGAGTGTGGCAAAGTATAGCCATGGACTTCATTGAAAAGCTTCCTAAATCCCATGGTAAAGACACGATTTGGGTAGTTATTGATCGGCTGAGCAAATATGCCCATTTTATTTCTCTTGCTCACCCTTTTACGGCATCAAAATTGGCTGAAGTTTTCATTTCTGAAATTTACAAGTTACATGGTGCACCTGCCAACATTGTGAGTGACCGAGATCCCTTGTTTACAAGTAAATTTTGGGGTTCCTTCCTTGGTCAATTGGGCATTTCTCAGAGCTTAACAACAGCCTACCACCCTCAATCGGATGGTCAAAGTGAAGTCTTGAACCGTTGCTTAGAACATTACTTGAGGGCGATGACATGGCAGCGGCCTAAGGAATGGGTCAATTGGTTGCCTTTGGCTGAGTGGTGGTACAATACCACTTCTCATTCTGCTATTCAAGCTACCCCTTATGAGATTGTGTATGGTCAAGCACCCCCTCTACATCTTCCTTATTGCCCTCAAAGTACCAAGGTGGAGGCGGTAGATCGAAGCTTCATTGTAAGGGAGGAAATGATCCAGAAATTACAAGGTAACTTGGTTCGGGCTCAAGCGCGCATGAAGCGGCAGGCTGATAAACATCGCAGTGATCGGGAATTCAAGGAAGGAGATTGGGTTTTCCTAAAGTTACAGCCCTATAGACAAGCTTCTACTCAATATCGTGCTTCCGAAAAGCTTTCTCCTCGGTTTTATGGTCCTTATCAGGTGCTACATAGAGTGGGAAAAGTTGCATACACCTTGATTCTACCAGCTAGTTCGCGGATTCATCCTACGTTCCATGTATCACTCTTGAAACCGTGTCCCGATGCGAACGTTCTCGTGGTTGCACTTCCTGAAGAGTGGGGCAGTTTGGATGATCCTAAGGAGCCATTTAAGATTTTGAAGAGGCGCTCAATTCAGAGGCATAATAGAGCAGTTACTGAGGTTTTGGTTCAGTGGAAAGGGGAGGCTATGGAAGAGGCTACTTGGGAGTTGCTATACAAAATCAAGCTACAGTTTCCTTATTTTGATGTTACAGCTTTTCCTTGAGGACAAGGAAGATTTCAAGGGGCGGGATATGATGCATGTATTAGTGTATACAGCTGTTAGTAGTTGTATTGGGTTGTTATAACTGCTTAGACAGTTATATATAGTTAGAAAATAACCATCCAATGTATGCTTTTGTTGAATAAATAAAAATACTCTTTCTTCATCTCTACTTTCTATTCTCTCTCTCTCTATATTCTCCCTCTCTCCCCTATCACATGATGACAAGAAAAACACATTAAGTGGGAAAAATACAATACATCAAATTTGGATCTACAAAAAAAAAATTGTAGAAGTATGTTTAAAATAGTAATTTTAACTTCATCCCGATTTTGATTTATGAATGTACTAGGTTGTCATTTTCTGATGATTCTCTCTTGTGTTCTACCAAACCAATACCAAGAAACAAAAACCGATACAAGCACCAACAGCAACAACAACAAAAACACAGAAAGTAGAAAAACAAAAAACGATGATGAATTTGAGTTGGAGTTGTTCATCACTTGCAAACCGACAACAACAATTCAGAAGATTCAAGATAACAACTCATCGTGTTTTTGCTGTTTCATTTCTCTTCTTTACCTCCTTCCTTCTCTTCTCTCCCCAAATTCCTCGCTCTCTCAAGTACCACCAATTCGCTGACTTGCGCAATCTTCTCGGTAATCACTTTCACTTTCTTTTCTATTTCATGAAAAAGATTTCATTTTTCTTTCTGGGTTGTTAGTTTGGATGATTTTGGTTTCTGGGTTTTGCACAGGAGTCCCCAATACGTTGAATGTGATCTCAAATTTCCCATTTTTAGTTGTGGGTGTTCTTGGCTTAGTTCTCACTCTTGAAGGAGGTTTTTTTACCTTAAGGTTAGTTACTTAGCACCTACAGGCGTGACTGTGTCCGTGTCAATGTAGAACACCGGCATTGACACTTGTAATTACATTTAATTTATTTGTTGTTATCAGTGTTGCCGTGTCAGTGTCGGGTCGGGGGTCGGTGCTCTTACTCTTATCACTTTGATTAGACTCTAATATGAGATGTTTTTGTTGTTGATGTTTTTCTTAGTTCTCAAGCAGAGACATGGGCTTGGATACTATTCTATGCTGGAATTACAGGGATGGCTTTTGGGTCTGTTTACTACCATTTGAAGCCTGATAACAATAGGGTCTTGTGGGACACTTTGCCGGTTCGTTAGCATTTCCATTACAACATACCTCTCTATATGAATGTGTTTTCAGTATTTTTGTGATTCTTGTGTTGTTTTCCTTTAAAATGATCAAGTTCTTCGATCCAATTTATCTGAGTTTATCAGCTGACATAAGCACTTCTAAGATTGTTTCACAAAGCTTATAGAAACAAACCATGACATGTCCTAAAGCTGTTTTCTGCTTCTTATTTTTTTCATTATTTCTCTAGGATAGTTTATGAAAACAACTTATAGCTTATATGAAGACATTTTAACTTTATTTTATCTTTTGTTATAGAAATAGTTTATGCATAAACACTTATATGACAAGTGTTTATACTTTTAAGTGCTTATAAAGATGTTTATCCAGTCAGAAAGAGCTTAATTTAACACTTTTTCAATAAGACTTGTAATATAAAAGTTTATGTGTATGCTATGTCCATAGTCTTATACTTATGTATATATAATATAATAACTATCTCTATGTTCGAAGAGGGGATGAGTGGAAAACTCTACATAAGCTCTCTATAACTTGTGATATGAGCTTATGGAAATAATTATGACAGAAGTGACCACTTTTAAAGAGAAAATGTTTAATGCGTAGATATTTTATTCGTTTTCTGTTAAAAACTTGTCGCCAAACAAAACACTTCTGTTGCTAGTTGAAAAGCAAGTGGTACTTCTTAGTTTCCTTTTTTTTTTCTTCCACTTTATCAAGAAGCTCAATGGTTTTACTGATGGCAGATGATGGTGGCATATTCCTCACTTTTCTCTAGTTTGGTTGTTGAGAGAATTGGCCAGCGGATTGGGTTGTGTTGTATGTGTGCCCTCCTTGTTGCAGCCTTTACCTGCGTAGTTTATGAACGGTTAGTTCTTTTTTTTTCCTCCTCTAAATGATAATCTCGTGCTTATTCTCTCTTTTAAATGTAATATACTTTCAAGTGTTGAAGTTGCGGCTAACTTTTATGCTGAATTATGAAACGCTAGTTAGTTGGTTGCAGAGTTTACGGGGATATTCGGCTCTGCTTGATGTTCCAGTTATTTCTTCCTTTAGCTATTGCAGTAGTAGCATTTTTGTATCCCTCCAACTATACTCACTCGGGATATTGGTTTTCATCAATAGGTATGCTTCACACTTTTGTAACACTAATTTACTTATAAATTTTGAATATTTATCACTATAGACTTATGAGTTGAGTCGTAATCTTTTTAGTGCAGGAATTTATCTGCTAGCAAAATTTGAAGCTCTTTCGGACAAGAAACTCTACCGCGCAAATAACTATGTTATCAGCGGGCACTCTTTGGAACACTTGTGCTTAGCGCTTATACCGTTTTTACTTAGTGTGATGCTCATCTACAGAGAACGCAAGTTCAAAAGGTATTTTGATGATGATAATATTTGATGGACTTTTCCGTTTCTTGTGAAATTTGGTTTTGATAAACTCTCAAGTCGGTTTTCCAAATACAAACATCAATAGTTGTTGGCTTGGTGACAGATTAGGAGATGTTAAAGATCAGCTTTGAAGAGTTGGAGAAAAGAGTTGAAATTTCCAAAGGTGATGAAATTATGTAACATAGCTTCTTGAGCTGACAAATTTAGCTGTATATTAGACTCAAAGTATTGGTTGCTAGTTTAATTAGGGTCACACCAAAAAAAAAAAAACATGTTGAAGATGTATTATGTAATTAGAGTCGCACCAAAAAACATGTTGAAGATATATTATGACAGATTAGAATTCTTAATTGAGTTGTTTTCCTAGGTCAATGAAATGAGAGATAGACAAATAAAATTCAAATCACAAGTTCATGTCAAATTTCAAATTTATAGGATTCATTCTTAAATACCTCACATGCAGATATGAATGTGTTTCAATTGATTTAAGTTAGCACCAAACAGGGGAATTTATGGGATACATCTTGTTCAAAATTTGATATACTTTAGGCACAGGTTTTGATACTTGGATTATTATTTTGATGTACCTTTGTGTTTTCTATTGTTTGTGGCCAATAAATATATTATTTTCATGTGTGGTTTTCAAGTTTCTCCAAGAGTAATTTAGTAGTATAGTTGCTTCAAATCAAAAGGTGATCACATAACTGCACTTGAAATAATAAACATTTATTGGTTTTGGCCAAGACTTAACTCAGATGTTGGTCATTACTCAAAATCAAGAATAAAATCCAGAAATTATGAGTGCTTTATTACTGTACATCTAGTTCAAAATTATTAGCTAATTGAAAAAATATAATTGAGTTTTTTTCTTTTTTTTTTTTTGAAGGATAAAAGTATTGAGTGACTCACTAATCTCTTTAATGAAATTACAAGGTCAAAGTAAATGTCAGATGAATGGAGAAAAAACACTTTAATTCCAATATACAAAAATAAGGGGAATATACAAAATTGTGTAAATTAAATGAGATTAAATTTATGAATCATATCATGAAGTTATTAGAAAGATTGATTGAGTGACAAGACTTTACACTTGATTTTTATTGATTTGGAAAAGGCTATTGATAGAGTAGAGATTTTATAGAAAGCTATAGAGAAGAAATGTATTAAAATTGTATTTATTTGAGCTATCTAAGATACATATGAAAGGGTATCAATTAGTGTGTTAATATAAAGTGTAGAGACATACGATTTTTCCATTACAACAAATTTGCATTAAGATTCAACCTTAAACCCATACATTTTTACTTTAATTTTGAATGTACTCATGAAATACATCAAAAACATAGTACCATGATGCATGTTTTTATAGATAAAATTTAAATGAGAGGTATGAGACTTTGAGACTCGTTTTAAAAACGTATGGCTTTCGCTTAAGTAAAAGTAAGATTGAGTATGAGTCATTTTGTTTTGCCTTTTTTTTAAAAAAATAATTTTTATAACGTAATATAATTTTGTATAAAAAAATTTATACCGTAATATAAATGTTTCAAATGAAAATTTGATTTAAATAATTATTCTTAAAATATTATTTTAGATATTTTATTATTTTATTGAATCTTATTTTGAATATCAAAATTTCAAAAAATTATTTAATTGTGAAGCTATTTCAAACTATTTTTGAAATACAACTTTTTTAAAAAATTACGATTTCAACTATGTTTTAATCTTCAATAATGTATGTTAATGTTATAAAATGTCAAAATTAGTCTTTTAATTTAGAAAAAACGAATAAAAAAACTTATAATATTTTGAAAAACGATTTTATAAAATTTATTTTTGAAAATACAAAAAAAATTAATTTTTTTAAAACTAAAACAAACGGGTTCATATCACATGTAAATTCAACAAAAAGAGAAGTGTTTCTAGTTCAGTAAAAGGAGAAATATTTCTAACTTAGAGGTCAAAGTTAGAAATCATGTAATCTCACGAATCACACTATTTAAATATCTTGAATATCTAATACAAAACGATTGATATAGATGAAAATGTAAACTCTCGAATTCAAGTTGGGTGACTGAAATGAAGGAAGACTTCAAATGTTTTATGTGACATAAAGGTAAAGCTCAAACTTAAGAATTTTTTTATCGGACTGCAGTAAGACCTATGATATTATACATGATAGAATGTTGGACGGTTAAGCATCAACACGAGAATACAATAAATATAGTAGAGATGATGATGTTGCATTAGATGTATAGTAAGACTAAACATTGTTAAAATTATAAATGATAATATTAGAGAGAGTGTTGTGGTAGCCTCTATAATAAAAAGATGATAAAAAATAGATTTATGTAGTTTAAATACGTAAAGAGAAGACTAATAGATTATATGATAAGGAGAGGCAGAAGTTAATCCATCTAATGAACATTTTGGCAGGATGTGCGCTTAAGATTTCACATCTCATGCTGAGGATATCTATGTTTTTAATTTTTCTCCCAAGTAAATATTTTATTTGCATCTGGTCGCTCAGAGTTTTTATTTATATCTGTATTTTAGAGCATCATATATTAATATTTAATAATACTATGGTCAGAATAAAATAAAACAAAGTTTTCAAATATAAGTTTATATTCCAACTTTTCATAAAAACTGGGGACCCATCTCACATTGCTCACATGCACTAAGAAGATAATGAGATGTTTTGTGACACATCAGAAAAAGGGTGTTATTGTCACAAATTTACACCCTAGATGATGTTGAGATCTAAATTTGTCTTTGACACAACCATAATGCATGTTCTGTCCTCAAAAACAAAAATAATCACTATAATATGCACAAATCCTTATCATAAGCAGTAGAAAAACTACTGGTGCAATTATCTAATTGGCCCAACATATAAAAAGCATAACAAGAATTCACAATCCCTAGTTGCTTTATGAAAACATGGATGCCAATGAAACACTTGTACTACATATGTCTACATCAGCACAGCTTCCTGATCCTGCACATGATATGAAGTTTGTGGCTAAACATGAACCAAGAAAATGATTTTACAGGATGACAAATTGGTACATAACAGTTTTGGAAGTAACCATAGCTAATTCTGACAAAGGATACATATTTTATGGTATCTGATTTTCTAGAGCCCATAACAGCATTTAGATTGGTAGCATAATAATGCAGAGTGAACAGAAAATAACAAAAACCTCCCATCTGCAACATGTAAGTTAAGAAGTGAAGCTTCTTCGCATTTTCACAACCAAAGAGTAATAATTCACACCAGATTATAAGCAAACCATTTTAAGTGTAACAAACCCCATTAGACATTTCGATAAAAAATAACTGCAACAATCAGCAACCATTTGCTTGTACCAGTTACTAACAGTTCAACCAAACTGAGAGGAGCCATGAAATGGCAAAAAGTATTTCATTTCAGAGAATTCAAATTTAACATAAAGTACAATTTTTGTTCCAAACAACAATGAATTCCCAGGCATAACACAAATAGCTATGTAGTAGAAATACACATTGCTGCTGCATAAGGAAATCAAACATACAAACTAAATTGCACTTACATCCCCACTCTTCAATCATGAAGATAAGCAAATACAAAATACAAAAACCTATAAAACATCCAATAAACCAGTATCAGTAGTTTCTTTCTAACCTATAACTTGATAGAAAATCACGCAGCTAAGACAGTTAACGATCAAATCTAAGCCGCTAAGCAATTTGCAAATCAGTTATTATTTTTTCTTCAAATACAGCAAAACTTACAAAGCTTCACTTGAATTTGCTGTTTCATCCATGAGTATTAACAGCTTCCCAAACCAAATTTCTGGGAACAGGTTTAGTAAGATCCCGAGCCTGCAAAGCAGCATTCCTCAACGTTTGAACGGTAAGCACATTAGCCTTCCAGAAAGACACACAAGTGTAAGGAAGGTTATGTTTCTTGCACAGATCCTTAACCAACGGCGCAATCTTCCTCAGATTACGCCTTGGAAGCCGCGGAAACAGATGGTGTTCGATCTGAAACTGCAAACCACCATGAAACCAATCCATCCAAGACGGACTCATAACATCAAGAGTTCCAAAAGCTTGCTTCTCAAACCAATCATGAGCGGTCGGTGGCCCAACATAAACACTCGCAGAGAAATGATTCAAAGTGAACTGAACATGTTGAATACCAGTGACAGCAAAACTAGCAACCACAAACAAAACCCTTTCACGCCAATTCGGCAAAAACGAAACCAAGAAAGGGTACCAAATCCAAAAAGCAAGCAACCCTAAAAGCTCCATCTTTCTGTGAGGGACTTTTCTATTAGACAGTAACAAGAAAAAGGATTGAGCAAACAAATTGAGCCTAGCAAAACACATGACAGGATAATAACTCCAATGCTGGTAACTAACCAGAAACCTAGCAAAAGAATCAAAGTTCATCTTCCTACCATAAAAACAAGAAGTAAGCGAATCAAAAAACCTGGACGACACGACGAAAAACGGTAAATGCTGAAGATCAGGATCAAAATCAAGACTATTACAAGCAAGATGATGAGCATTATGATTCCATTTCCACCACCCAATGCTTATACCAGCAAGAACATTACCAGAAAGAATCTGAGCAAACCGGTTCCATTTCCGGTTCACCATGATCTGATAATGACCAGAATCATGACCGAGCCAACCACTCTGAATCCACAGAAAACCCATCAAACCACCACAAAGCACATGAACAACCATGCTATCAGAAAACAGAACACCGTAAAGACTGACACAAAACATAACAACAATCAACGAAAGCAAAATCAAAACACCGTGTCCTTTATCTTCGAACAACCCTAATTTCGTGAGTTCGGAGAACAAACTCCGGTAATCACGAGAGACTTCAGAGACAGTGTAATCACGGAGGTAATTCCCAGTGAAGAATGCATCCATTCGTTTGTAGGCGGATGGCGGATGAAAAGCGAGGAATGCATCCGTAACATCCTGGCCGGCGAGGTTGAGGAGGGGAACTTCGCCGCCGGGGTGGTGGTTGGCCCATTTTGAAACGTCGTAGATCTTGCCGTCAATGGAGATCCATGCGTCGCCGCGTTTGTTGTGTTTTTGAAGCTCTTGTAAGGAAATGTAGGTTGGTTTTTGCAACGGTTCAGTTTCCGCCATTGTAGGTGGAAAAGAAGAGAAAAAAGAGAGAAGATAGAAGGAAAAAAAGTGTGTCTTGTGTTAACTGGTTTCAATCTTTTGTAGAGGAAAGTAAGTTGGAAAGTGATTATTTTGTGACTATATGTTCTATTGGTGGGGATAAGCCAATCAAGGTACACTAGGCCCCATTTCTTTTACTATTTTTATTCAATTATTATACATGTAAAAAATATTTACTTGCAAGAATCAATTAAAAATATTTATAATCAGTTAAATATTTCATTCAAATACATTGAATATCTATGTAATTATCAGTTAAATTGTATTTATAAAATAGATATTATAATGATGATATAAGTAAACTTTAATAACAGTAATAATATTATAATATATTTAAAATTTGCTTTTAGGTATGTTTTCTTTTTGATGGCATAAGGGGATAGAATCTCATGTCTTCAATATGGCTAAAGAATGGACGAAAAGGAAAAATAATATTTTTGTTATTTAATTAATAAATATTTAAAAGAATTTAATTTAAAAATTGAAATAGTTAATGTTTATAATTTTATATTTTAACGTCATAAAATATATTATAATGTTAAATGGGTGACATAACTCAAGTGATATATGTTAGTTGAGATAAATGAATATAATATATTGAATTATAATTTAATTTATACAGTAATATTTATTTATATTTATATAGTAATATAAATAAATTAGTTATATTATCATTTTAAAATAACATATTTGTTGTGAAATAGATAAATTAAAAATAAATATTTTATTAATTTAAAAAAAAACGTGAGAGAGATCAAAATCATTTGAATTTAAAATATAAGGATTAATTTTGTAAATAAGCTAAAATTTAAGAATCAAAGTTATAAGATTAATATTAAAGTAAAATCCATTGAAAGCAATATTTTATTGTCTTCCCTTGAAATTGTAAGTTATGATGATTATTTTTTTCTAAAATTGGATGATTAAGACCGAAAGAGATATGGTTTAGTCGTTTGAAAAAATGAGTCAAGTGAGGTTACACGTAGTGGGTGTAAATTGTGTTGATTAAAGGACAAGAATTCAACATGTGCTGTATGATGCATTGATAGCGACGCTTTTGGCAGCGTTGTAAAAGATTCTTTCATTTCAAATCTGCGAATGTGTTGTTATTACGTACAAGTCGGCACGACTATCTCCTGAGGAGATGTCAGGCCCAACGAGTGCTCCTCTCGTTTCTAAACTAAGGGGATAGATGTGTCTTCCTACACGTAGAAGTATAATATACACATTTTTATTTTCAAAATATAAAAAAAATATAATTGTTTTATTAAAATAGTTTATTATTTTTAAAAGAAAAATATATTTTTAAAATTAAAATAAAATTAATTTATCAAAAATTTAAGGTCAATAATATATATTTAAATTTTCTATATATTAATTAAAAAATATTATATCTTAAAATAAGTTTAGAGTAAAAATATTAATAACATAAATAATAAAAAATTAATACATTTTTTACGTGTAGGTTGGTTTGTATACTTGTGCGTTCATACGAATACTAGTGTATATTTTTATTTTTATTTAGAATATAAATATAATTTTTTTTTATATATATACAAATATTTGGATCAATCATATATTTTCAGTATATAAATATTAAATTTGTTTTAATATTATTTATAAAAATATTTATTCAATTATTTAATTTTATAAATATTAACTAATAGTATAGTATTTGTAAATATTATTTTAATTGTATGAACAAATATTAATAACATAATTAAATATATTTTTTTCGTGTTTGGATTTATTTATTATTTAAAATATTTTTATTTTTATTTTCTTTAATTATATAAAAAATATAATAACTTGTAAATTTGTACGAATTTGCCCGTGGATTTGGGCAAATAATGGTATGACATGCAAGTTTTTAACCGTTTATTATGAATATTAAAAAAAATTCATAATTTAGAAGACAAAATTGACATGAAAAAGACATGAAAAATAAAATAAAATTCATTAATCAAAATAATATATTAATTTTAAAATAGATAATAAATCTATTTCTATAATACACGTATGTCTAATTAAAAATTATTTAATGCGATACATTTTTATTTAAATCTATGTTTAGACTTTAGAGCAATATTTATAAAAAATTTGTTATATAAATTTAATCGGTTATATTTTGTGCCACTTTAACAAATGGTTAAATTAAATTAAAAAAATCTTATTTTTTAAAAATGGTCAAAATTATTATTATTTTTTTTGATATTTTGATAATAGTAAAAATAATTTGATACATTATAAAAATAATAAAATTATAATTTAATATCAATAAAATTGTTTATATACAAAATTAAATACAATTAGATTAATTAAACACAACTTCAACAACTCCTCAAATTACTAATATAATTTTCAATATCAGTCTTTCAATGTCTAAAAGCGGAACTTAAATGTAAGGGTGTTTAAAATCGAACCTATCCAATAAAAAATTGCAAAGTCAAATCAAACTAAATCGAAATCATAAAAAATTGTATTTGTTTTGGATGTATTTGAATTATTTTTTAATAAAACCGTGCGGTTTGATTCGGTTTGCGGTTTGTATTTTACAAATCAAACCAAACTGCATTATGTTACAACTCAAACTTCAATTAACCTACATCCAACTCATATTCAAACATTTTATACTTTAGTCTTAGTCTTACGATTACGAATTATTTTCTCTTTCTCACACTTAAAGTTTCAATTTAAGTCTTCTCAAATATCTCATAACGTTATCGCGTCTTTTTCTAATCTTCTTTTCCAAATACATCTGATTTCTTCTTCTCTAGTCTTTAATCTCTTATGTTCTTTTTTTTTTCATCTTATTATTTTTACTCTAATATTCTCTCTTCTAATTATGCTTTAAATGCACTTTTTCTTATCTAATCTCTCTTCTCTTATGCTCTTTTTTTTTATTGTCTCTAATGTTTCATCTCCTTTGTTTTTTCTATTTTATTATAATATTTTTGATATTATTTTATGCTACTATTTTATGTTTTTTGTTTCACTTTTCTCTAATATTATTTTTGTATATTAAATAGAAAATAATTGTTCAAATATGATGAATTTTGTTGTTATTTGATAATGTTTAAATTACTCAATATAAAGCTATATTATCATCTATATGTGTATGTATGACTCAATAATTTTTTAAAAAAAAAAAAACTGAATCAACTAAACTAATCCAAATCGCATTGGTTTAGTTTGATTTGGTTCGATTTTATTTCTAAAATCTAATCGAACTAAATCGAGCTTCACACTTTTTCTCTTACGGTTCAGATGATTTTTTACGTTAAAACCGTCCGAATCACACCGCAAATACTCTTACTTAAATGTATTGGACAAACTTAGGATGTATTAGAAAATATTATTACTTTCAAAAACAATTAAATAGAATTAAAAAATCTACTGAAATTTTTAACTTTTTAATAAAAGTTAGAGATACCGTAAGGTGAAATGGTGAATGAATTAAAGAAAAGAAAATTTAAAAGGTAATTTAATAAAGTATAATAATCTATAATTTAGTCTTGATAATATAGTAGCAACAGGACATTCAATCAATTTTTAGAAGAAATTAGTGTCGACAGCTACCATGTTGAACTTTAGGAGTGAAGTTCATTTCTATCTCAACTTAGTCAGCTTATGAAATGTGGACCATGTAAACATAACCACAGTATTCAAAGATTGAATTTTTGACATTTTTAAGTCAACCAACATTCATATATGAACTCATATATTATAGGTCATTTCAAAAGTCAACAAAAATACACTTTTTATCAAAGAAACTTACATCAAAATAAAGTCTCCAAATGCAAAAAAGATCAAAAGAGAGATTGTAGAGGACATCTTGAGCTTTTTAAAAAGTCCAAGATCACCTTCAAAAGATGAAAATTGAGAAATTTATGACCAGTGCAAGTTGGGAAATTTTGAGGAAATGCATGAAGTGCAAAGTGAGTGTTGAAAGCAGTGTAGCGGGAAGCAACAAAAGTTTTAGAAATATTTATCTGGGAATTTATCGTGTCCACAACAATTGATTATTTAATTGCAGTTCGACAATTCTCTCGTTAATGAGTTTGATGATAAATGGGTTTGTAAAGAAAATGTTATCAACGGAAAATAAATGTAAACAAAAGTAAAAACTAAGGAAGAACTTATCAAGCCTGCATATAATCTACTCATCACAGACTTAAATCTATCGACCAGTTACATTCAACCTATCAATACTCATCAATGTCACTATGTATCACTCACAACCTAAGTCATTTCTAACCCACATTGAGAGACCGATTGTATCACCAAGGAAATTATCTTTCTACCTCCTCAACAACACAGAAGACAACTTATATAATCGCACTGATGATCTCTCAGCATAGCACAACCACACAGAGACATTAAGCTCTGATACCTAAGTAGATGTCAGCTCTAAATCTATCTCTAGAGTTCAGAAAGTAACAGATAATCATCCTAGATAAGAATCTAAGCAGTATATGTCTATAACAACTCAAATCTCTAGCACGGAGTAAAAATCCATGACAACAATCGAAAAAGATTTGTAAAGCGAGTTTAATATAACGCCATGGGCGACAAATATATATAAGTTCAGAGTAAATACATGTACAAACTCAACACATAAAGAATACACAAAGAAGAAGAGAAATGAACCACAAATCTACCGACTTGTCAGTGCCAATTGATGAGCAATCCACCCCAGATCATCCGTATGCAAGCTTCAATGTTGTTTTCTAAGCTAATCCTATCCAAAAATGAAGGTTGTTGGAGTTGGAATAAAAAATATCCAAAATCATCCTTAAAAAAGTGTTTTTACACCTAAATACACATTTCTGACTATCCAGCATCGCCAGGCGACCAAAAAATGTCACCCGGCAACCAAAACAACGTTTTTTTCCACGCTACAGCTCACCTAGCGTCGCCTGGTAACGAATGACAGAAAGTTAAAAAACCAGCACAACATT